TGTCTGTGGACTTACAACGTTAGAAACTGGGTTTCGATACCCGTGGTGGGCAGAGCACAGATAGCCCTTGTGCTGCTTTGTGCATAATTAAAAACAAACAAGCATAATAGTCTCAAGTTATAACTTCATGTAGTGCAGCTCTGACTGATGAATATTGGTCTGGTATTATAACTACACATTGTTCAGCTGTTCCAATTGAACCATATTGGTCTCCCATTATAACTTAGTGTAATTCAGTTCTGACTGATGCATATTTGATTGACACAGCTACATGTAGTTTAGTTCTGACTAATGTGTGTTGGTCTGACATAACTGTGTAGCTCATTTCTGACTGATTCATATTGGTTTGACATTATAACTGTTTGTAGTCCAATTCTGATCTGGTGCATATTTGTCTGACATTTTAACTGCATTTAGTTTAATTCTGATTGATATGTGTTGGTCTGACATAAATGTGTAGTTCAGTTCTGACTGATGCATATGTGTCTGATATTACTGTGTAGATCATTTCTGACTGATGCTTATTGTTCTGACATAACTACATGTCATTGATTTCTGACTGATGTATATTTATGCCATTATTGATACATACAGATCATATGTGACCGAGTCTCGCATTATAGCTGTATAGTTCAGTTTTTGAACTGATCAAAAATGATCTGAAAATATAATTATGTGTTGTTCAGTTCTGTCTGATGAACATTAATTTGAAATTATAACTGTGTGTTTACTTCAGTTGTTCATATTGTTGCTACATGTAGTTTGGTTCTTTTGTATGAATTTTAATTTGTAGTTATAGTGTGGTCAAGTTCTGTTTAGCATATTGGTCTATGATTATAACTGCAAAGTTTTACAATCTGTAAATCATCTCATCATAATTATTTGTTTTAATTTCAGCTCTAGTGTCTGTTATTCTAAACTAATTGCATGTAACATAAATGTAATTATCTAAGTGTCTACCACTGGTAAAAAAAAAAAGCTGAGAACCACTGCATTATCACTAATGAAAGAACAACATAAAATTTTCATATCAAACCTTGCCAAAACACTTGTATTTATAAAATATATGAAAATGCACACAGAATTTCTTATTTTTCAGATAAGAAGTATGAAACAATTATTCTACCAATTTATGGTGTACCAGTACCATTCCACATCTCCACAGTAAAGGTGAGGAAAGAAACAAGAAGAAAATACTTTGATTAATTGATGTATTTTTCTGACATTGTCTGATATTCATGTTAGTAATTTTGTGTTTTTGGAATTAGTTGCTGTTTCATAGAATTGACACTCAAGTGACATATAGGTGTGAGAATAATCAGTAGTTAAGTGGATAATCTGGTACGGTGTTCTTACGAAAACAAAAGTCACTGATAATATATATATATGCTATTTTATGTTCTGTATTTTGTGAACTAAATGTTACTTATATATGCATTTTAGCAGAACATATGGCAAAGACTAAACAGTTATGAGTAGATAAGTCATTGTTTGTGCATGAAGTTAGGAGTATAGTGATATTTATTGATAGCCTTCAATATAAAAAACATTACTTATATTTGGAATTATTTATGCTGTGTAAGTTTTTGTATGCAGGCAAATTATAATGTGTGTAAAACTTATTTCAAATAACAGTAAGTCCTGTCTCAATATTTCATACATATTAATGTGTGAGTGTGCAGTTTAGTTTTACGACAACAATGAACAAACAAGATTGTGACAGATAATGAAAAGCATGCAAGTCAGAGGTTGTAATCAATATGTAAGTCACTTGAACAATATGAGTACACAAATTAGTGATATTATTTACGAAGAGTAAACAGCTGGGCTGTTATTAATACCGGATACAGGTGATGTGGGTTAAAGTGCACATTTGATTAAACTACTTTATTAACAATATTTGTCAATAAACTTAGCATCAAATTGTAGTTTGTAATTTACATTTTTATATTAAGTTTTAATTTCAAGAGGAAATATTTAAATACATTTTCATTCTCCACTTCCCTGTGTCATGCAACCCCTTGTTCTCTAAATTCTCCTTTTTTTACATTTTATCTTCTGTTGTATGGATTTTAGAGTTTCAACTAGTTAGATACACAAACAGTAGATGTTATCAGGCCAAAATATAAAATAAGAATCTCCCACTTTCTTTATTTGGCTGGCTTGAAGTGTACAAAGCTTTTTCTTGAAGTATAAGTGAAAAACCATAGTTGTAACCATACAAATGTGATTTGAGGGGCTAATGACTTTTTATTCTTCCTTTTAAATCTCAAAAATATTGCTATTTGATTAGATCAGTCCCTTTTATTTTTCTAGCTTAAAATTAAATTTCATTACACATAAATGTATTAGGTCATCAAGAAATTCATGTCACGTTTTGGAACACTCTCATGAACCAACCCCCAAAAAACGTGCATCACGTATAATAGTTAAATGAACCAGCTAAACATCACGTTAGTGTAGCCTATATAATGTGAAAAATTTAGAATACTCTAATCCCTTATAGTGATGACACATGATGAGACACACTTTCGGCATGTAATGCTGTTTGAATACAAGAAGGGAAACAATACCTCTGAAGCCACAAAGAATATCAAAGAAGTTTATGGAAATGTTTTGAATGTTCATAAGTGTCAACGATGGTTCAGCAAATTTCGTTCAGGTGACTTTAGCCTTAAAAACTGTGATGGTAGGGGCCGACATGTTGAAATTTATATTGATGCTCTGAAGACGCTTGTTGAGTCTAACCCAAGGCAACACACCCGTGAAATGGCCCTGCAATTGCATGTCTCTCATGAAACAATACGTAAACATCTATGGAATATGGGAAAACTCTGTAAAAAAAAAAAAGTGTTTGGGTGCCCCACAAACTCTCCAATGATCATCGTTTCCAACGAGTGAACGTTGCTTCGTCTCTTCTGGTGCATAATGCACATGAACCATTTTTGGACAGATTTGTCATTGGTGATGAAAAATGGATTTTCTGTGTGAATATTAAATGCCAAAAACAATGGTTCAGTCATAGACAAGAACCACTTCCAACCTCTAAACCTAGACTCTATCCGTAGAAAGTGATGCTTTGTATTTGGTGGAACATCAAAGGAGTAATTCATTTCAAATCCACAGCAAACTGTCAATGCAGAGATCTATAGTCAGTAACTGGAACGTTTAAATCAAGCTCTTCATCAGAAACGCCCTTCACTCGTCAATCGGAAAGGTGGTCTTCTTCTCCACGACAATGCACGTCCACATGTGGCACATTTGACGCAACACAAGATTAATGAGTTGGGTTGGGAAGTTCTCCCCCACCCACCATATTCTCCAGATATGGTACCATCAGATTACCATCTTTTTCATTCACTGCAACCATCTTAATGGGAAAACATAAGCAAGTTTGGAAGATGCTAAAGAGGACATTGACATGTTTTTTGCTTCATAGCCAAGTGATTTCTTTAATCAGGGCATTAACAACCTGATTGTAAGATGGAAAAGCATCAATGATAAGAATGGAGTCTATTTCATTTAATAAATGTTTTATTTTGATATATAAGTTGTTTGGGTTTTTTCATCTAAAATAAGCAACATTAATTTATTGATGACCTAATAATTTTCTGCTTTGAAACTTAAGTTTACCTGCTGATATCTTCAATTTTCAAGTAATCGAAGCAAGTTGTAATTCTCAAAAATAAGTATATAATATGAGTTTGATGATTATATTAAACATTGTAGGAATGTCACATATGATTAAGGTCCACTTCTGTGTATGAGACATGTAAGTCGATAGATTGATCATTTATGAACTGAAACGAGTTTATGAATTATTGGCTATGTATGAACTAGTGTGGAGTTTCAAGTCAGTGACCTTGTTTCAGGTATACCGTAAAGCTGGTGACCATGTATGAGGTATTGGTGACTTGATAAGTTAATGATTTTGAGATGTTGCATGCAGAAGTGTATTGTATATTAATGTTTACTAAGGTTGAACTTTTATGAGATACACGAGTGACATAGTTCAAGGGATGAGAAATATGCAAATTGTTATCACACACAAGAGAAATATAAGTAAAGGATTATTTAATTTCTGCACCCAAAAAACTGTAAATTAATACTAAATTTTGAATGGTACATATAATTAATTCAGACAATTCAATATTAATTGTGAATAGTTTGTATGTAGATTGAGTATTCAAATAAATGATCATTTTGTTTTTCGATCATATTTCAGAACATCAGCCAGTCAGTAGAGGGAGACTATACCTACCTTCGTGTGAACTTCTTTCATCCTGGTTCAGCTCTTGGAAGGAATGAAGGAAATGTTTTTCCCAATCCAGATGCCACATTTCTTAAAGAAATGTAAGTTTTCGTATTGTAAATATAGAAGTAATGATGTAAAACGTATGGACAAGTAATAGTTGTTTTACCCAATCCAGATGCCACATTTCTTAAAGAAATGTAAGTTTTCGTATGGTAAATATAGAAGTAAAGATGTAAAACGTATGGAGAAGTAATAGTTGTTTTACCCAATCTAGATGCCACATTTCTTAAAGAAGTGTAAGCTTCCTCATTGTAAATATAGAAGTGATGATGTAAAACGTATGGACAAGTAATAGTTGTTTTACCCAATCTAGATGCCACATTTCTTAAAGAAGTGTAAGCTTCCTCATTGTAAATATAGAAGTGATGATGTAAAACGTATGGACAAGTAATAGTTGTATTACCCAATCCAGATGCCACATTTCTTAACGAAGTGTAAGCTTCCTTACGGTAAATATAGAAGTAATGATGTAAAACGTATGGACAAGTAATAGTTGTTTTAACGTTAAGAAATGTGGCATCTGGATTGGCAACTATTACTTGTCCATACGTTTTACATCATTACTTCTATATTTACCGTAAGGAAGCTTACACTTAAAAAGGAAGCTTACACTTCTTTAAGAAATGTGGCATCTGGATTGGGTACGGTAAATATAGAAGTAATGATGTAAAACATACGGACAAATAATAAGAGTTTTTCTTGTTTTTTCAATAGTTTGTACTTGTGTTGACAAGTAGTGTCTTAACACTGTCCAGGTTTACTCCAATAAATATAATTTTTGAAAGGTCACATTCATCTTAAACATTTTTTTTTACAGAACATAGGAAAATAAAAATGTCTTAAAATATTAGGTTCAAATTTGTGGTGAAACAAAGAATAAAATAAAAATCTGTTACAAAGGCTCTTTTGAAAATGAGATTTCAGTACTTTAACCCTATTGTCACGGGTCAAAGGCCATGTCATCTTGTTTGCTAACTCACATTCATAATTTTATTCAACTATTATTTTATGAATTTATGTTAGTAAGTTCGGTATCAAATTGAAAATTATAATTCAAATTTAAAATTAGGTCATCAAGAAATTAATGTCACTTTTTTTAGATGGAAAAACCCGAACAATTTGTATATCAAAACAGAACATTTATGAAATGGAACAGTCTCCATTCTTATCGATGATGCTTTTCCATCTTAC